TCTATGAAGGAGATCAGAAGGAATGACTTAGAAAAAGCCTCCAAACTATTGATGGGGCTGCCTCCATAGACAGTGAGATTGCATTCCCAGAAAAGAGAAGGGAAATATTTTATCTAAACTGTGTGGCTTAGAAATGAGTTTGAAAATCTCGAGACGAGGTTTTGTTGGAGAAGATACTAGAATACTATATCCACTGTAAGAGCTATCTTAGAATATTTTTATAGTGTCTAAGACTGTGCTATTTTAAGAAAATCAATAGCATTTTGTACTGAATTCTTCTGGGTTAGGGCCAGTTCAGAGATATAGTACCATTAGTGTCACTGTTTCTAGTGGAATAGTCTGTATTCTAGGAAGCTGGGGGAAACAGGCACTGAGGAGATAGTAGATCTCTTGGGGCAGGAAAGAGCTGTTCAGTATTATTTGGAATTAAGGGTAAAGTTTCTAGCTAAACATTTACCACCCAATCAGTTCATTTCTGTGTGTCCCAAAGCAATGTGTGTGAGTGACAAAGCTATGGTGGCTAATACCAGGTAGCAGCCTGAGGCAGAAAGACAAGATGTAATGGACAGTTGGTGGAACTTCGAGGGACAACCATATTCTATGCCATACAAAACAAACTTCCTGTCAGTCTGGATGCTTGATGCTATCAAATTTCTATTCGTTTGCTCTTGCCATAACAAGATTGCTTAGTGTGTATTGGGAAAGTCCACCTCTCAGAGCCCACATACATATTGGAAGATTTCTTTGAACCTACACAATTCATTTTACAGATCACCAAAGGTGCCATTCCTGGACAAGTTCTGCCATCCTACACCACACTTTTGGGAAATAAACCCAAGTAGCATTCTCCACACATGCCACACAAGGAAGAATGCCACAACTGTACCTCCACTGAGCATAAGACATTTAATCTAAACATTAGGGACCTTATATATTTTGGGAAGCTAGTCAACCAAGGTCTGCAAAACACTCAGCACCAAAGTAGCAGACAGCATCTTTATTACAGATAAGAGAACCAGGAAAGATGTAGCTTGGGATCACTTGCTCAGCTGTGGAAGAGGAGTCTCATGGCTGTGTTCATTAGCCCACTCTGTTTCCCAGAACTTAACAGTAAAAATCTGCAGTCAGTCAATAAAGAACATTACAGAAACTTCAGCTGTGGCATGAACTAAATCTTTAAGATGGTTTGATTTCATGTAGACCCTTTGCTTCCCAGGAAAAAGAAATAGTTCATTTCAGTCCAGATTTCTTCTGTTGCTCCATCTTTAGCTCTGTACTAAGCCTTCTAGCTGGATTGTAATAATACTTCCTTGGAGAGCATTTTCTGATGCCCAGATTCTGAATACTAGAGAGAGAAAATCCTGACACAACACAAAACTGCATTTAATGCTGGAATGCACCATTACATTATCTTCTGGAGTAGAAACATAAGTTTTTTTATTTGAATGTGAAGTCTTGAAAGAAGAACTAGGATTCTTAAGATCTATTATTACCTGGGCTCAGATCTTGTGCTTTTCTTTGAGTTTATATAAAATTCCAGGTTTGGATTGTGGCTTAACTGTTCTCAAGAATTCTAGAGTCTGCATTTAGTTCTAAGGAAAATGACTAAACTAAATTACTATCCAGTCTAATACAGCATATGTAAAAAAAAATTTTTGGCATTATCCTCTTAGAGATCTGGCATTAATTTAAAATTTAATCTTCAATAACTTCAATTCCTTCCACCAAACCCATCTTGACCTTTCTCTACAATCCTATCTTCTATACTCATGAACCACAGCAGTACCTCTAATAGGCTCAAAGTTCAAGACTGTAAGCTCTGCTCTAACCTAACTGAAACCTGGGATGGTCCCCTTTGCCACAAAGCCATGGAAATGTGGCCCTGTGCGAAATGGTCCAGGGAGCTCATGAAAAGCTCAGTTACATTTGGAATAAATATGACCCCAATTCTGTTAAACTAAAGTCCTCTTTGGCTCAGTCAGGTAGCTTCTTAGCTGATCTTGAAGTTAATTCTGAGTAAGTGAAAGCCTTGTTTTGCTCTGAAAGTTCTCCAGAACTTGTGAGAATAAGTAATGTGGTTGGGTCACCATTTATATTGTTGGCAGTTGCAGAATGAGTCATCACCCTAAAGTCTATTTTCCCTCTGTCTCATGTGCCTGAGTTCTCCTGGCTGGCTGTGAAATCAAGGAGCAGAAGGCACATACCCTTTACAATATGTTAAGCAACTTTTTCTTGAGACAGAGATTCTGCCAACTCGAGGGTGTTTATCGAGGGAAAATTGAAAATATTCCTCCTCCTACTTCCCAGAACTCCAGTGCAGACTTTCAAAAGGGAAGCAATTCTGGCAACCCAAGCAGCACGAAGGAGTGGGCACCTGCACCCGCCAGGCAGAGCAGGATCCCATGCATGCAACCTTGGTACAGTCTTCTGTGTTTCTGTCTCATGTTTGATGGCTTTTATCATGCAAACGCTCAGGTGCACTTAAATGTTAAATGTTAGAACCCAAGTGAAGTGCAACTATATATTTAAAAACTAAAGGAGAAAATCAAGTAAACATTTCAAGGAACAGTCAGCAGCCCTTGGGTGTTACTGGCATCCTGTGTAGATAACTTGTCAACACACCTGGCCTCATAGCACCAAGCACCCAGACAAAAGCTGAGGCTCAAATAAAACAGAGCAGAATAGTTCTCCTCTTGCCTCCTTATCTCTTTGTCAAGTATTGATAACAATGGGTTAAAAGAGGGGAAATGATCTAGTCCCTAGTAATTGACTAAGATTTAAAAACAAAAGCAAAATGAAACAATAACAACAAAAATAAAAACCTGAGGGTAGACTGGGGATTTCAGAGCTTGCCACTAGGGTTTAACACCAGAATTGAGGAAAAGTTAAGAGAGTAAGGGGACCCCCTTTCTTTCTCCTATCCAGAGAAGGCCCTACAGAATTCCACAGTACTATCCTAGAAATCTCTTTGGGGAGGGATTCAGATGCAAGAAAAGGGAAAATTCAACCAGATTTTCCCAGAGTCATCTGTGTTATGACCTCCTCAACCTTGTAGAAACTAAAAGTCAGGGTTTAAATTACGTTACAGAAAGTAAAGGCTGGAAGACTAAGAGCTGGGGGTGTGTATGTGCTTTTAGTAGCTCACCTAAGATGCCCTTCTCTGTGGGTAACATGCAAAATCCATCTATGAGCATCAAAGGATAGAAATGGGAAACTGCTGGGAAGAGTCAATCTTTATAAATGCATACATCCATTCTGGATTCGTGTTTAGATTTCCTCCTTAAGAATACAGAAGCTGACACTTCCTGGGGGATTCTCAGATAGTGCTGAGGAGCAGCAAAGTGCACACACTCTCATGCCCAGTTTTCTTTCTAGCTCCTTTCTTTTCAACACTCTTCGGGAGGGTCTACTAAGAGCTAAGAGTTCTTCATGACCCATTTCATCTTCTGTCCCAGGGCGTGGCTTGGTAGTGACTCCTCAGATCTGGGCTGCGCGCACACATATACACTGTCCCCAGCAGGACTGGGGGAGCCAGGACATCTACAGCAGAGTCAGAGGTCACTCACAGCCCTGAGATGCGTGGTCCTGTTGAGGGGAGGAAGACCATAGCTGCATCTGTCCTGGGTGAGAAAAGTTCAGTAAGCTCCTGTGTGAGTGCTCTTGAAGTAAGAAGCACTGCAGATATTTAATCTATAAATAAATAAATTAATTAATAAGTCAATCAATCAAATCACAAGAGGGCTCTTTACAGATAAGCACCTCTTATCTATTAAAAAAAAAAATCCCCTCTTGCGTTTCAGAGCCCTCATGCAGTGGTGATTTGTAGGCTCAAAACAACCTGCAGAAAATAGAACAATTGAGACAAGGACTGGAAATGTTCCAACACTGGATATTTCTCACTTGATAACACACAAGTCATCCCAAATGTCCCCGAGGTAGTCTTGTTTTCAAGGAGTTGCAGAATGGCTCCAAACCTACTTGGAGCGCCCTCCTCTAACGCCATTGCACTTTTCCATGCATCCTGCATCTGCCTCCTTGATACCACCGACAAGGTGCCTTCCACTTAGTGTTGTGTCCCACACAATGCAGACCCAAGTCCTAGGCAGACAACAATGAAATGCAATTCCAAGTTCTGGCTTGAAGACCGCACTCCAAAGAGGACTTTCCCAAAATGATGCAGGTACTTACCTGGCAGCCATTTTGGAAAAAGCTACAGAATTAAATCAAAGAAGTCTGGCATGCAACAACATGCATGTCTACCTCTTGTTGGGCCCCTATCATTGTTCCTTTTGCTTTTAGAAAAGGGCCAAAAGAAATAGAAAGGAATTCATGTTTTAAAACTGGGAAATATATTTGTGATACCACGGGCAGTATGCACTGTGAGTCTGAAAAATGATGACTAGTTACCAGCACAAGCTATGCAAGAACACCTGTGGTTGAAACACCTTGGTGATAAGTCTTATTCTCTCAGAAAAGAAATGGTGACATTCAACAATCCTAGAGAGAACTGGTGCTTGGCTCCTTCCCTGCTCAGAGCCCCAGGTTGGTGTTAGAGACACACAACAGGGCAGTCCACACCTGCAATGAGCCATTCTGTTGACCTGGAATGCCTTTCTGGTTCAACCTTCCCACTGGCTCAAAAGCAAAACCCTGGAAGACAATAGGGAACTCGGCGAGTTAGGGGACACTCAACACCCCAGTGGAACTTGCAGACCATTTCTGTGTTCCATTCACCACCAGAAGCCATTGGGGGGGTCCTGACCTTGATCACAAGAAACATGCTTTCTTCCCTTGGACTTAAGATTTTAAAAAGTCTCATTTGGGAAAAATGCAATTAAAAGCCCTGTAATTTTATACAAATGGCCCTGTGAGGAAGGAAAAGAAAAAAGCCATCCTCCTCTTACTTCACCATCGCTGCCCAGGGGCCATCCTAACAGGAAACCCTTCAGAACTCTACCCTGGATCAACAAATTCAACATTAAGTTAAATAAAAAATTAAATCAGCATTTAGCCAGAGCTTTGTCCTCCTGTAAGAGGTCATTCAACTCGATGACAGTCGTGGCAAAGTCCACCAGGTCGACAAAGTCAGATGTGATGATGTTGACACCCATGGCTCCAGGCTTCTGAGTTTTCACCCAGTCCAGGATGGCAGGAAGATTCCTAAACAGAGGATAGTGTTCAGGAAGAGAGAATAGACAGTAGAGTTTAGAAGCACTCCTCCAGAAATAGAAACAAAACATTTCCATCAATGTAAGAAAAGTATGTTAATAGAAGCACAAGCCTTGAGAGTTATGTCTGTTTAAGCTTTGTATCTTCTTCAGGGATAAGATGGTCTCTATTTTATCAGAGAATTATACTTTCCAGGCTTTCTTTGCTGGAAGAGGAGATTATTTGCTCCAAGCACCAAAAGAAATATCATGTCAATAGGACTTCAAAAAATTAAAATCGAGAGCTTCAGTACTGGTGGGTTCTTTAAATTTTTATTTATTTATTTATTTATTTTTTGAGACACAGTCTCGCTCTGTTGCTCAGGCTAGAGTGCCGTGGCGTCAGCCTAGCTCACAGCAACCTAAAACTCCTGGGCTCAAGCAATCCTACTGCCTCAGCTTCCCGAGTAGCTGGGACTACAGGCAAGCACCACCATGCCCGGCTAATTTTTTTCCTATATATTTTTAGTTGTCCAGCTAATTTCTTCTATTTTTTAATAGAGATGGGGTCTCACTCTTGCTCCGGCTGGTCTCGAACTCCTGACCTTAAGCGATCCTCCCTCGTTCGCCTCCCAGAGTGCTAGGATTACAGGCATCAGCCACCGTGCTCGGCCTAAATTTTTTATCATGGAAATTTTCAAACATATGACAGCACTGAAAGAATTTTACAGTAAATATATCCACCACCTAGATGCCACCACTAACATTTTACTGTATTTTCTTAGCACATATATATCAACCTATCCCTAGCTTTCCATCAATCCATCTTATATTTTTAACATATCCCAAATGCAAACATATATACATATCTCCTAAGTAGTTTAGTATGCATGTGATTAACTGGAGCTCAATAATTGTTTTCCATTTGCTGTTCTTTTGATATAAAGTTTACATCCAACAAAATGCAAAAATCTTAAGAGTATACTTGCTGAGTTTTGACAACTATATACACATAGCCTAAACCCATATCAAGGTATAGAACATTACCAGCATTCCAGAAAGTTCCTCCAAGCCCCTTCCCCCTCAATCCCTGCCCCGTCCTAGAGGCAACAACCCTACTGATTTTTTTTCCTACCATAGATTAGATATGCCTGTCCTAGAACTTCATATTAGCCATGCAAAATGTATTCTTTTTTGTGAGCTTTCTTTCATTCGGCACAATGGTTCTGAAATTCATCCATGTTGTTGCATATATCAGTAGTTTGTTTTTTTTTAATCACTGCATAGTAGTAGTCCATTGTATGAATATACTGCAGTTTGTTTATCCATTTCCTACACCAGCTGGATGTACGCATAAGCTGTTTCCAGTTTTTTGGATATTATGACTAAAACTATTATGAGCATTCCTACATGAGTGTTTTTGTGGACACTTGTTTTCCTTTCTCTTGGGTAAGTACCAAGGAATGAAATTACTGCATTTTAGGGTTGGCTTACATTTAGTTTTATAAGAAACTGTCAGACATTTTCCTAAAAAGATTTTTCCATTGTATACTCTTACCAACAAAGTATGAGAGTTCTGGTTGCTTCACTGTATCCCCAAAATTTGGTGTTATCAGTCTTTTCAATTTTAGCCATTCTAGTGGGTGTGCAGAGATATCTCACGAGGTTTTGATTTGCATTTTTTTGATGACTAAGAATGTTGGACAGTTTTTCGTGTGCTTATTGGTTTATCTACTTTTTGGAAGTCTCTGTTCAATTCTTTTACTTATTTTTTCATTTTCTTTTCTTCTCTTTTTTTTCTTTTTTTTGGTTGTTTGGTTATTGAGTTGTAGAAGTTATTTATATACCCTGCATGCAAGTCTTTGGTCAGATATATTTTGTAAATATTTTCCCCCAGCCTGTAGCTTGTCTATTAATTATACCAATGACATATTTTGATGAACCGAATTCTTTAATTTTCATGGAGTTGAATTTATCAATTTTTTTCTTTTATGGTTTCTGTGATCTGTTTCAGAAACTTTTGTCTACTGCCAATTTACAAAGATATTCTCCTACGTTTTCTTCTAAAAGCTTTATGGTTTTCACTTTTATGTTGAGCTCTAAGATCCATCTCAAACTAATGTTTGTATGCGGCATAAAGTAGGAGTGAAGGTTTGCTTTTCCCATATGGGTGTACAGTTATTCTATCATTATGTAGGGCTTCTTAATAGACCAATACTTAACCAGTTGTCTCATGAACAGTCTTTCAGTCTCGTTTTATGAAATGAAGGCTTGCTATGTGACAGGTAGTTGTTTAGTGATGTAATGTGATAATTTCCATATCAGTAGTAAGTGTAAAGTACCATGGACAGTAGAGAGGAGGGAGCAATAAAGTGTGCTCATAGCTTTACATCATGGTAAAAACAGCTCACTAAATACTCAATAGATTGAAACTGCTTTAAGGAAGACAGAAACTAGGGCTTAAGTTTTGGTTAAGGAATGGAGATTTTTCAGGATCTTCTCTAGGCCAAAATTGAAAATAAATGAAGTTCATTATCTTAATTGGTCCTTCCTCTTCTTTTGGTAACATTCTCTTTGGTTGTTATCTCCTCTCTCCTTTGAAGATGCCCTCCCTTTTTTATTTATTTATTTATTTATTATTCCATGGTTTTGTGAGGGTACAAACATTATAGTTACACTTTATGTCTTTGCCTCCCCCTTTTTAAAGCATACATCCTGACTTCTCAGTCTGCTAGACATCCCTGTTAAGGCCTTGGTGGCATTCTGTCTTTCCACTCTTTCTTTTTCTCTTACCATGACAACTACACTTGGTCCTGGGTCTCTTCCCTCACTCAGTGGGCTTGAGAAGCCATGGGCTAAAACACATCTCACAAATCAATTTACATGTTGATATTAATAGCTGATTATGACTTAATAGCCACTCTCCCAGGGGTACTTTCATTTTTAACTAGGACTCCTGAAGACCTAATAATCTCAATATGACCTTAACTTATTGAATTTCACTGTCCCTCAATCTCTCCCTCCCTAAAATGGGGACAATAATAATGCCTTATATAGACTTTGGGGAATTAAATAAAATAACACATGTAAAGTATTTAGAACAGTTCCTGGGATACAGTAAGTCTATGTAAATGTTTGGCACACGAGAAGGAATCATAAATGCGAGAGCGTAAGGTAAAGATGTTTGCGGGGCGGGGATAAGAAACTTTCTGAAAGAGGTCTCATCCTGCTGCTTAGGCTACAAAGTGCTGTGGCCTGAGAATGAGGGGCTGCAAACACAGATCTCCTTTAAAGGTAGACCCGGAATATACAGTGGCCCACATTCAGGACACTGAGCCTGAGGCATCCCAGACTTCTTTTCCAAGTCCCTGGTCAGTGTGTAAGTATGACATGCAGGCGCCATCTGCTGGTCATCACGGGGAAATGGGAATTGGCCAAGTGCAGCCAGAGCCGAACCTTGGAGGATCCCTTGGAGCCTGAGCAGAGAAATGTGGGAAAGGAATGTGCTTGTGGTCTCCGGTGACAAAGAGCTCTGTGTCAGCCTCGGGTTGCATGTGTCAACCTTACCCAAGGCAAGGATCGAATAACCAGGATTATGTACAAAGAAAGGGAAATGTAGAACCCACTGTGAAGAGGAGCCACTTTATTTTCTTAACTCCTGGCATTTACCAGGATGAGAGATCCTTGCAAAGGCTGAGCCAGATGTTGCTGACAGGCCCCTGAGATGACAATTCCCACAGGCTACAAAACAGTAGATTGAAAATTTCCTTTCGATCTTGAGGCCCACCTGAGAACAAGGCTGGTCCACTGTGCTTTTGGGTTTCTTTACAAATTGGGATGGCAGAGCTATTTTGTGCCAGCCACTGTGGTAGGCATTTTCATGTTAAGACTCTATAATCTCATGAAGTATTATTAGCACCACTTAACTAATAACAAAAACCCCCACAGCTCAGAGACCTCAGAAAACTTGTCCAAGGCCACCCAGTTGCTAAGGGACTGCATTAGTTTGCTAGGGCTGCCATAACAAAATACCATACACTGGGTGGCTTCAACAGGAATTTATTTCTAACAGTTCTAGAGGCTGGAAGTCCAAGATCAAGGTCTCAGTGGGTTTGGTTTCTCCTGAGTCCTCTCACCTTGGCTTGCAGCCACATTCCCACTGTGTCCTCACATGGCCTTTTCTCTGTGCACACATATCCGTGGTGTCTCTGTGTGTGTCTAAATTTCCTTTTCTTTTAATGATATAAGTTAGATTGGATTAGGGCCCACCTAACAGCTTCATTTTAACTTAATCACCTCTTTAAAGGCCCTATCCCCAAACACAGTCACATTCGGAGGCACTGGGGTAAGGACGTCAGCATATGAATTTGGGAGAGGCAGGACTCAGCCCATAACCCTGTCAACCTCAGACCTTCTGATCTCAGTCCATGTCCCCATCTGCAGTTTCATGGATGTCCACTTTTCAGGCTCAGGCAAAACTCACTTTCATTCGATTTTAGTGCGAGTGTTATGAACCTGAATCTGGGGGAAAACACATAGAAATGTAGCCAGATGGCTGTCTTTTTTGTGGCTTCCTTCTAGGGCGGTGAACCAAGGTGAACAAGATCTTAGATCCAAAGTTTACCTAAGAGCTGAGGAAGTTAAATCTCTGCTGAGAAAACCATCTCTACATTTGTAGGAAAATATACTTTGTCTTTTTCTTCTTGGTTTGAACTGATAACTAATGCCCAGGCCCAGTCTGACAGTGCCCCTGTGGGGCTTATCCATTAGGACAGGCCCTCTGGGTGTTGGTACTAAGGGAGAGGCCCTGTGTTTATTCAACCGCCCAGAGGAAATGACAGCCACACTCTGCACTGGCCTTTGGGAACAAACTCAGCCAGAACTGTGTTTCCTCCTTCTGTTGATATGCAGACCTAGGAATGCCTGATGCATCCCTGTGATATTCTTGTGACCAGCAGGGATGGAGATGTCAAAGTATCTCTCCAAACGTGGGACATCTGCTTGCTAACAGTTGGGCATAGGCTCTGGCATGCTAGTATACCTTGGTTTTGGGCTCATGCCACGATCATTACAGTAAATGAAAGAGGCTGTATTTCATTTGCAGCCAGACTAAGTTCTAGGAATGTGCACGTATGAAAAGCTGTGTGACATTGTGGGTTATCAGATATAACCAGTGAGATTCAGGTACTAATAAGACAACTGCAGGCCTTTGGAGCAGAAAGGAACACAGCACTAAAATATGCAGCATTGAACACTGAAAAGGGGAGGGGTCGAATGATCAGAAGTCCATAGTTTGAGACATATTGACTCTTACTAGCTGTGCGGATCTGGGTCACTTAACCTCACTGAGTCCCATCTTCAGTGGGGATGATATTGTGCTCTAGACAATGTGCCCTCCTAGAGGCTGGCTTGATTTAAGAATCAAATGAAATCATCTGCAAAAGGGGACTCTATATTCAGACTACAGCATACAGGCATAACTTATTTTATTTTTAAATAGTCCTCCCTTAAATACTCCTCCCGTACAGCTTTCTCCATAGACTTTTTAGAATGATTTTCACATTGCTTTATAGAAATTTTCATGTTAGTTTTACCTGCTACACTGTGAGTTCCATGAGGGCAGACAGTGTATTATTTATCTTGAATTTTTGCATCTAGCTTCTCCTAGGTACTCAATGTTTGTTGAATGAATAAATAAAGATGTTAAGCTACAAATTCACCAAAGTCATGAGGAAAATGGTGGGGATACACAAATATATAT